AGCGGGCACAAACCCCTGTCATGAGCCTATCACGTCTGTTAAGTCACAATTTCGTCGCCAAAAGGGCGTGTGCAACCATCGAAGTTGCGGATTTGACCATCTCTTCGAGGGAGGATCCGCTTTCTCATCTAGGCATGGAAAAGGCCCTCCAAAAACGTGCTGGCCACTTGGAAGTCACCCACTTGAATTTTTAGAAAAATGACTACTGTGATTTTTAAGTTCAAAAGCAGCAACCCGAGATTGGTCCGCACAGTTTGTGCTGACCTAGTGGAAAGGTGCATGGCTCTAGTCGAGAAGATATGAAGATCTGAATGTTAAAGACAGAGCGTCCCAGACTAGGATTCAGTGAAAGTGTGAAATGTCCGTACCTCACGTGAGAAGGCCAGAAAAATTTCCTGGTAACGCACTGCATGAGCAGAAACATAACTACTAATTTTATACTCCGAGCCTTTTGGCGTTAAATTTTTTGTAAAAATTTTTTCTTTGGCGAGTAATTTTGAAATTTGATAGATAGCTTGGGGGAAGCCTCTGCCGCCAACATTTGTGCCAGTTCTACGGCGAGAATTTTACCGAGAAGTTTCCTGAGTTTTCCGGATTGTTCACTGAAACAAATGCAATTTTTCGTTATTCTCGTTCTTATCTATGAGTCTCAAACGGCCGATTTAAGAGGGAAAAGCGTCGTGCTGTTCAATTCCTTCAAATTTTCTGCAAAGACCCTCCACTTAACATTCGGCTTAATCGAAGTTTGTTCAAATCAAGAAAGAAGGTGAACAGACCTTGACCTCTTTGGATAGAGCTGCGAGTTCTTTGAGCGCTTCTTCAAGTTCGCTAATGTCCGGGTTGATGTATGGTGCTTGAGCAGGTAGCTCTTTTAGGGCTGAAACGAGAATGCTCGTCTATTTGCAGGGAAATCTTAAAAGGGCTCACCTTCAACTGAGCTCGGTATTACTTTTCGTGTGAGCACCAAGTTCATGGACTCATTTAACGGTGGTAACGCCAATGATGCTTCCGGTTGAAAAGCTACAAAAGCTGGATTTATATGAATTTTGACTTGTTTTTGATATTTAAAAATTGTATCTGCTATAAAACCCAGCCTCGCAGTTCATTACCGATCCTGGCTGACCGGCTTGTCGCGGGAAAGCAAATAAGCTATAATAGCTAGGCCAAGGTGAGGGTGTAATTGCTAGCACAGCTGCTCGGAAGACAGGAGTACGGGTTCGATCCCAGCCCGTGACGAGTTTTATATATAACCCAGCATTTTCATGATGAACTTATATCATTGGAGCTCTGCACCCGAGTCTTTGGTCTTAAGCTTGAGGGCACATCAGCGAGTTCATTAGATGTTTAGATGTTCCTGTAGATGAAGAAGGTTGCTTAGCTGTAGCCGCTGAGATAGTTTCAAAAGCGTGGGTAAGGCGGTAGGGGCAGAGGTTATGCACACGCTCACCGTAGCAGTGTCTGC